TTGGAAACATATCAAATCATGACACTATTAACTTTTCACTTCATTCTACAGAGCTTAGGGAGGAGGATTTGGATAGCAGTAACATAGTGTTTGTAGGACCGTTTTCTGACAGTGAGCCACAGATTTTGGATCATACTTTGCCAATATGTCCTCAATCCCCATCATCTGCCAAGGCAGTGAAGAAGATACCGTTAGTTTACAGAGGACAGTACTAGTAGAGGACAGTACTAGTAGAGTACTTCCTGAGCTCATTGCACATTTCTGTGAATATGGACTTCTGGATAAAGATTTCAAGATTCAGCTTGTGCTGCCAGATGAAGCACCTGAGATGGGTTATGATGATGGAGGAGTCGTTACAGTCTTTCTGAATTCTGGAAAGAATTCTATGACCTGTGTACTACAGGAAACACTTATAAAGTGCCTTTTCACCTGTCATACTAGAGCGAGCAGCCTTTGGACAGGTAAAAAGTGAGGTGGTGGAGAATTTCCTTAAGTGCTTGTCTGAATCGGGGCGCTTTGTGTTTCAGTCATGGCAGTCAGACCTCAGCAGTGTTGACTGTATTGTACCGTGTACTTAATACCCTAGATAATAAAAGGACCGGAGCCAGGACATGCGTTAACAGCCGTTTACTCGTAGTAGCCCCACCCCTGCGCATGCGCGCATCATACATTCTGTCTCACTACATCTCCCCCTTTTAAACCAATGTTTCAAAGTTATTTACAAAATCAAGACTCATATCTATTCAAGCTGATACTATTATTTTACTTACCGCTGATCTCACTAAACTCCGATAGGGGGTACTATTGTTACATTAACTTAAGATCAAACATAACTTCAAAATAAACTGTACACATTTTGCATCACGTCACACATCACATTACTGTCTCTGGTTTTTTTTTGTGTTTTTTTTTTAGAACAATACTGCAACATTCCAACTCAGAACGCATAAGAACCTAACTGAGAGGCAGGGTGGACTACCTGGTCCTCTCTGTTGTGGTATGGAGGTTTATTCTGCTCCGTGTATACACACAACACTATTCTACAAGTTCAGTCTTTTGATGGGCTTGACTGCTCTGCCCACTCTGGTGCATATTCCCGGATCTGGAGTGGTCGATGGTGAAGGCACAACTCTCAAATGAGTGCGGTTTCTTCTGAGACTGCCATTTGAAGTGTCCACGTTGTATGACCTTGGTGTCCCTGCTGATCCGGAAACTACTCTAGTGCGTGTTTTGTTCTTTATCCAGACTCTCTTGCCTGGCTGGAGTGGTGTCTTCTCCTTTGCTCTGTGTCGGGTGTTGTATCCCTCCGCCTGTTTTCTTTTAAGTTCCTTGTCTTTGACCTCAAAAGCTCTCAAGTCTGGCCAAGCTGGTGTGAGGGAGCTTGGACACACTGGGAGAGGTGTTTGAATGTTGCGCCCCATTAGGAGCTGCGCAGGAGATGCCCCATGAGCGAGAGGGGTTGCTCTGTATGCCAGTAGTGCTTTGTGAGGGTCCTCATTCTTTTGCAACAGGGCTTTCACATTTCTAACAGCACGTTCTACTTCTCCGTTGCTTTGGGGGTAACGGGCGCTACTGGTCAGATGCTGGAAGTTGTAATCTGTAGCGAACTCTGCAAACTCCGTTGCTGCAAACTGTGGGCCGTTGTCGGTGACAACTGTGTCGGGCACTCCATGACGGCTGAATATGGCTTTCATTTTCAGAATCACTGCTGATGCTAGAGTGCTTGTGAGGTTAGCAACCTCAATGAATCGGGAGTAGTAGTCTATGACCACTAAGTAGTGACCTTTTTTCCATTCAAACAGGTCTGCAGCTAGCTTTTGCCACGGGCGTGATGGCAAGGGTGTGGTCAGGAGAGGTTCCGGTGTATTGTGACTTTCCTTGGCACAAACTTCACACTGGCGTACCTTTTCTTTTATCTGACGTGTCAGACCTGGCCACCATACTGCTTCATGAGCTCTCGCCATACACTTAACCATTCCCTGGTGGCCCTGATGAAGAGTTACCAAAATGCTCTGTTGCATGCTTGCTGGAATCACAATTCTTCTTCCCTTCATCAGGAGACCATCAGCCATCAACAGGTCATTTCTGTGCTGCTGTGCACACACTGGATCCTGTTCTTGTGCTCGCCTAATCTGCATCAGTTTCTCTGGCGATGCAGGCAGTTGCTGAATGACTTCGTCGATGTGAGCTCTCATGTCACTCTGAAGCATGAGATCCTTGAAGGGGGGCTCTTGAAAGAGCATCTGCTGCGATGAGATTTTTGCCTGAAATGTGCACAATGGTGTATGTGAACCGCAACAGTCTCAATCTGAAACGCAGCACACGAGGGGGAATGTCATCAAGTGCTCTTGTGCTGAGGAGACTTAACAAGGGTTTGTGGTCTGTCCGGATCTCAAAGTGCAGGCCCAGGAGGTAAGTTTGAAACCTTTCACATGCCCATGTGATGGCCAGGGCCTCCTTTTCAATTTGGGCATATCTACGCTCAGTTTCAGTCATACTTCTGGAAATAAAGGCCACTGGCCTCCACTCTCCTGATGCTTGGAGTTGTGACAAAACACCCCCCAGTCCATAGGAGGATGCATCTGCTGACACTCTAGTTGGCCTGTCAGTGCAGTATGGGGCAAGTACAGCCGATGAGCTGAGCTCTTCTTTCACCTTTGCGAAAGCTGACTGTTGCCCTGGCCCCCATGTCCACATGTTATCAGCTTTCAGGAGGTCCCTGATTGGTCCTGTGAGCTCTGCAATGTTTTGGGAAAACTTTCCCACATAATTCACCATGCCCATAAATCTTTTTACATCTGTCACGTCTTTGGGTGGTGGCATGGCTGCAATGGCCCTGATCTTGTCGGGGTCCGGCCATATTCCCTCTCCGCTGACGATATGACCCCGGAATTTCACCTCAGTCACTGCAAACTGGCATTTGTCGTTCAGGGTGAGGCCTCGCTGCTGTAAGCGTTGTAGCACTCGATGCAGCCTTTCATCATGTTCCTGTGGCGTGGTAACCTGACAACAGCCAGATGCATGTCTCGCTCCGCCTAGCTCCTCTCACATACATCTGGGAACCCGCTCATTGAAAGTGATTTCCCCAACTGAATTTATGGTCTGTCCAATCAGGACGCAGGGCGGGTGTGTCCTGGAGTGGACAAGCGACCGTGAGATTCCAACAACAATGGCGGCTCGCATTGAGGAAGCAAGCGTTAGCATTGATGCTGCTATTTCTTCTGTGTTGTCTAATCTATCTGATATTGTTTCATTAAAAGAACATCAGAGAACGGCTTTGAAGGCTTTTGTTGGTGGAAACTATGTTTTCGCCCTTCTCCCGACCGGATTTGGCAAGAGCTTGATCTACCAAATGGCTCCTCCTCTCACAGCGTCACGGGTTAGCTTCGGTGTGAGTGGTTGAAATAGCACGTCAATAAAGATGACAGACAAGTGGTTTATCCAATCATATGCAAGGAGTCTTGATAAGGCCCAGCCTTCAGTAAAGGCAATTCCTATGGCGGGTTCCCAGATGTATGTGAGTGGAGCTAGGCGGAGCGAGACATGCATCTGGCTGTTGTCAGGTTAGTGGCGTGGCGCCAAACACCAAAATGTCATCTGCATGACAAACCGTTCCTTCAAGGCCATCCAGCATCTGCGTCAAGCGCTTCTGGAAATTCCAAACGGAAGTCGGTTGAAGCAAAAACGGCCAAATGGCGTAATAAAGGTGGTGAGTGAGGCCAATTCCCTTTGCAGAGGGATTTGCCAAAAACCTGCAGTGGCATCTAGCTTTGAAAAAAATTCTAGCTCCAGCTAGTTTCGCGAGCATCTCATCAACTGCTGGGAGGATGTGTCTTTCCCTGCATACATTCTCATTTAGGCGGGTGAGGTCGACACAAATACGGATCTTTCCATTTGGTTTTGGTACTACAACCATTCCTGAGAACCACTCTGTTGCTTCTTCTATGGGTGAAATAACTCCCATTGCCTCCATTCTATTTAGCTCCTCTTGAACCTTTCCTCTTAATGACAGAGGCAAGTGGCGTAGCACTGCGAGGGCAAATGGTGTGGCATTTTCTTTCAATTTAATCTTGTATTCTCCCTCTAGCTTCCCTAAACCAGTGAACACTCTGGGATATTGCTTCACATAAGTATTCTCTGTGGCAATGGCATCCACTTGAGTTAGAAAGCTGAGGTCTTGTATGAGTGGCAAGCCAAGGAGTCTTGTTTGGAGGTGACAGTTTCCCATGCAGCTTTTCAGAGTACATGTGTTTTGGGATGGCTGTCACTGCAGCGCCGGTGTCGAGCTTGAACACCAGTTGCTGACCATTTACTCCAATTGACTTTTTCCACACTGTGCTAGGTGCAGTTGTCATTGTGCCCAAAAACAAAGTTTCCACTCTTTCACTCATGTCACTCTGCTGAAGTTCCTCCACTCTCATTTTGGTTTTACACACAGCCGCAAAATGTCCCTTTTTCTGACATTTCTTGCAGTCTGTATTTCGAGCAGGGCAGTCTTTGAATGAATTCCCATGACATCTGCCAAACCTACCACATTTGTCTTTTGCATCTGTCTGCTCTGGTCTATGGTTTGTTTTGTTCCTTTGTTGACCATATTTTTGTTTGTGTTTAAATCTAACTGCATTTGTTTAAGGCTAGGTTGTCAAAAAAATCAACAAGAGAGATATTACACCACACATGCACAAGTTCTGCATATCTGTTCACTGTCAGGGGAGCAGTCAAAAATTCTATCTCTGGAAAGCCATGATGCCAGACATCAAAGTGTAGCCGACATTTGTTATGCCATAATTAACATGTTAATTGTTAAGTGACATAATAAATTATAAGAGGTAAAATGAAAATGACTGTAGGATATGTTTACAAGTTCACAGCCAAAATAAACAAATATAGGACCTGTTTGTTATTGTATCTTTATTTACACAAATGTGTTGACAGTTGTACTTGTTACATGGCATTCATATTTATAACAAAATCTTTTTCTAATTTGTCTTTTTTGCACATTTTATTTCTTTTGTGGAAGGTTATAAAAAGTCTTCTTTTTTTGTTTTACTGGGCACAACTTGCTAAATTTCTTTATCTTAAGCTAATTAAACGAGTGCATAATGAATTGTTCTCTGTTGGCAGAATACAAAATAAATACACTTTGAATAAAGTGTAGAGTCTGTTTATGATTTGCTGTTGCACTCTAAATAAATCGATTGGACATAATACAGAAAAACATACATGTAAAGAGTAATGAGAATATTTGTACTCTTTATATTTACACATGTATTTACACAGGACATATTTTGTGGACCTGGGTGACTTAGAGAAGCTATTCCCTCAGCCCATCACTGATCATTTGACGGAGTCTTACATAAAGATTAGTAATTTCATACACATCATCTGTTATTACCAGTGGGCTCAGTCATGAGTCCAGTGCATAAGTGAAACACGTCGACATCACAGGGAAAGTCCTTGAAACGACATTCTTCTATACATATTTCCAGCTTTGTTAGATTACAAACTAAAAAATTGGGAACCCCATACAGGTTGGGAACAACATGCATTAATGTGGGACAACCATGAGGAGCCCAAGGATTATTTGACCGTATACGACGGCCATTCCATACCTGGACAACTTGATCCAACTCCATCTGTTTAATAAAATAATCAGGAAAAAAATATGAAAAAAAATCATGCTTTTTTATAATTTGTTATTTATTTCAAATTTGGGTGCTGAAGGCAAGAAATAAATTTAAAGTACCTGTATTGTTTGTAGGAAGCAAAACTGGATCAGTGATTTGTCCAGAAAGCTGTCAAGAAAATAGCCATCGGCTTTAAGCTGGTGGAACGGTCCATCCAAAACTGGGCACATTCACTTCCTAAAGTGCACCATCGCTCTATACTTTGATTTCCTGTACTCGGACAGAGAATAACAGATTCAAAACCATTTTCATTCTCGGTGTTGTGCAGGAATCTTTGCATTGCTGCCACACAAGTGTTCTCTGTGCCATGATCCATTCGTATCTTTTGTGGAAATCCATTGTACCCCAATCACAGAATCAATAAAATAGCCAGCAATAATCTGAGGGTCACTATTAGTCTTGTATGCTTTAGCCAGATCATTTTCCTAGAAAAGCCATCCACGCATCCATTAACACATATCCCATAAGGCTTAAATATGTCGTACCCATCCATGTGCCAGACATAGTTTGGTTCCCGACTGACATATAAACGTCGTCTCAAGCGATTTTGTGCAAGCAGGTCAACCTCGTTGAGATCCAATAAGCGCATCAAAAGACGAACCGTTTCCCTGTCTGTGACTATGCCAGCCATCCAACATTTCTGATGCATCCACCTGTAGCCGTGCTGTCTCCCGCCGTGTTGTTGTTGAATAAAAGAGGCCACTTCTGCAACATCTGTCTTATTTTTCCGACTACTTTTTACACACTGATCACAGAAAATATAGTAAAGCCACTCCTTGCAATTGAAAAGAGGAGCAGCAAAAGCATCAGATGCATCTGTACTCACTTCACTTGAGGTGCTTCAGGATCAAAGATGCTTAAGGCGCATCTGACATTACACGCATCAAAAATGAAGCAGCAGATGCGTCTTTGCTGCTAAAATTGCATTTGAGTGAATGTATCATTTTTTTTGAGTAGCATTTTTACCTAATAGTTTTGACTCTTGATTAATTTTTTGGATGGTATTTTGTACTTTTACTCGAGTTTAAATATGATAAAGTAGAGCCATGCTTAAGTACAATTTTTTTGTAGTTTATCATCTTCTGACCTCAGATTATACGGATTTATATTTCAATTGTTCACCAAGTAAAGCTTTTTCTAAGAAGCTGTGAATTTAGCATTTTAGCAGTTTTTATACATTTTAAGTCAAACCATAATTAGTATCATCTACTGAGAGAGATATAACATTGAAAGCATACTATAAATAATAATTTAGTTTAAACTTTTTATTCAAATAGCGAGACAGCACAAGAAAGAAATGGGAGAATGAAAGGGGAAAAAATAAGGATAAGTAACTTTTTGCATCATTTTCTGGTGACATTTTCCTTCATGAGTTCAGTTCTTGTAGATTCTGGATCACAGCAGATGCCAACTTCTTGTAAGCCTCCGCCTGGATGTAAAGAAGCACAACAGCAAAAAAAAAAGCTTTATACAGATAAATGAATTACTATATTAACTATGTGAAATAATCAAATTTCCTAAACTAACTGACAAAAAATAATAAATCCACTGTAACAATCGAACTGAATGCTACAATGTACAGTGATGTAGAAACCTCTAAACTGTCCGGGTAAGAAATGACTATTGGTTGTCCTTTGTCTGACATCTCCCTGATGGTTAGGTGAAGAGGGATGTCCCCTGAAATGCAATAAACACATGTACAAAACCTCTTAATGACTATGAAATTATTCACTACTTTCCAAGATATTGTCTGGTAAGTGCTGCAAGAATCAAAGATTGTTTTATGACGCAAAATAAAGACATTTTTCATTCCTCAAGCCTCATAAGAAATCTTCAAAAGAATTATGTAAAAAAGAAAGAAAATAATAGAAGGAAATTAGTCACATCATAAGAACCCTGCTAAAGTTTGCAACTATACTGCTGTTTTGAATTTCTTACCCAAAAACTTAACTCCAATTTTCTCTGCAAGTTGCCGTACCCCGTCGGAGCCAAAGATGTGGGTTTGGTGATTACAGTTGGGACACTGGAAGACATTCATGTTTTGAATGAGACCTAGAACCTGTGGGGAAAAAGCCAAATTTTTTTCCCCATAACTTCCTTCATCATTAGACAGGACAGATTCTCTGATTTTGTAAAAAAATAGATTACCGGCACGTTGACTTTTTTAAACATCTCCACTCCCCTGCGAGCATCCAGCAGAGCAACATCTTGAGGTGTTGAAACAATGACTGCACCTGCACACAAAATATTGGCATGTTAAAAACCTTAAAAAACTAAAATGTATTTTTAGAATGGTGTGCGCAAGAAGGACAGACCTGCTACTGGAATATTTTGAGAGATGGACAGTTGGACGTCTCCGGTCCCAGGAGGCATGTCTACCACCAAGTAGTCCAAAGCCCCCCATTGTACCTACAAACACAAGTAGACAGTTTCCGCATTAAATGAGAGGATGGGAAAATAGTAAAGAACAAAAATAAATTCAGCTCTTCTGTCACACCTTAAGCTAGAAACTTAAGACTTTTACCTGTCTGAGTAATCTCTCTATAGCAGACATTACCATCAGTCCCCTCCACACAATGGGAGATGTATCCTCCACTAGGAAGCCCATTGACATGCTGACAGAAAGGGCAATTTATGCTAAGAAGCATGAAAGAAAACATGTGTAAAAATACCCAATCCGTCAAACTGATTTAACTCACCATGGCACGCCATAGTTGATAAGAGGAATCATTCGGTTATCTGGAAGAAGGCAAGAAAAAAAAAAAAAAGTTAAACTCGGATAACTTTAGACATCATTTCTAAAATCTCAGTTTCAACATAACACACCATCACTGAGCTCTGGGTTTCCTTTAAGGTTCATGAGTTTGGGTATAGATGGGCCATAGACGTCAGCATCCAACAGACCAACTGTCTTAGACTAAGAGAGAAGAAATAAACCAGATTCAGACAGGACACTCCCAATAAACTGACTTTCGTCATTGATGTGCTGAAACCCAGTTACAAAAATCAATCAAAAAAAATTAAAAATCGATAAGCTTAATACATGATTGTAAGTATTAAACTTTAGACAGCTATTCCCAATCATGCATAATGGTTAATAAATAAACTGCTCAAAAAAATTAAAGGAACACAAAAATACATAAGATCTCAATGGGGAAAAAGCATGCTGTTTATTAATACTGATATGGACTGAGTGATGTGTTAGGAACAAAAGGATGCCACATCATTTGATGGAAATGCAAAATTATCAACCTACAGAGGGCTGAATTCAAAGACACCCCAAAAATTACAGTGAAAAAATTATGAGGCAGGCTATAGTCCATTTTTCTGAAATTTGATTGCAGCAACTCAAATGGTATTCAGTTATTTGTATGGCCCCCACATGTTTGTATGCATTAGAGGTGAGTATTGGCATGAGTGTTGCGATTCGATACATGTCGCGATATTTGGGTCACGATACGATATTATCACGATATTGCACTATCACTATATATTGCCATATTTTCCCCAGCTATCAAAATCAAATGATGAGATAAAACAGCAAGTGCTGTATATTTTTATCAGAAAATATTGATTAGGTATTATTATCCATGTTGTTTGGGGTTTTCTTCCACTGTGACTGCCTCTAATACAGATTTGGTGCTGCACGCATAGTTAAAGGGCTCCACAGCGCTTTCTGCCAGATTGGTGGTGCAGAGGTAGCCCATTTTCCCATCAATGTTTTATGTAACTATTTTTTTTTTTTTTTATCGATACTAAGAAGTGAAAGATCGATATTATATTGGGCAGCCGAATATCACGATATATCGCCAAAACGACTTTTTCCCACACCCCTAGTATGCATGCCTGACAATGTCGGGGCATGCTCCTAATGAGACAACTGATGGCGTCCTGGGATATCTCCTTCCAGATCTGGACCAGGGCATCACTGAGCTCCTGGACAGTCTGAGGTGCAACCTGGCTGCATCGGATGGATTGAAAGATAATGTCCCAAAGGTGTTATTGGATTTAGGTCAGGCGAGCGTGGGGGGGCCAATCAATGGTATCAATTCCTTCATCCTCCAGGAACTGCCTGCATACTCTCGCCACATGAGGCCGGGCATTGTCGTGCACCAAGAGGAACCCAGGACCCACTGCACCAGCATAGGGTCTGACAATGGGTGCAAGGATTTCATCCCCATACCTAATGGCAGTCAGGGGGCTGTTGTCTAGTGTTTATAGGTCTGTGCATCCCTCCATGGCTATGCCTCCCAGACCATCACTGACCCACCACCAAACCGGTCATGCTGAGCGATGTTACAGGCAGCATAACGTTCTCCACGGCTTCTCCAGACTCTTTCACGTCTGTCACATGTGCTCAGGGTGAACCTGCTCTCATCTGTGAAAATCACAGGGCGCCGGTGGCGGACTTGCCAATTCCGGTGTTCTGTGGCAAATGCCAATCGACCTCCTAGGTGCCGGGCAGTGAGCACTGGGCCCACTAGAGGATGTCGGGCCATCAAGCCACCCTGGTGAAGTCTGTTGTTGTTGTCTGTTGTTTGTTCAGAGACATTCACACCAGTGGCTTGTTTGAGGTCATTTTGTAGGGCTCTGGCAGTGCTCCTCCTGCTCCTCCTTGCACAAAGGAGCAGATACCGGTCCTGCTGATGGGTTGTAGACCTTCTACGGCCCTGTCCAGCTCTCCTGGAGTAACTGTCTGTCTCCTGGAATCTCCTCCATGCTCTTGAGATTGTGCTGGGAGACACGGCAAACCTTCTGGCAATGGCATGTATTGATGTGCCATCCTGGAGGACTTGGACTGCCTGTGCAACCTCTGAGGGTCCAGGTAACGCCCCATGCTAACAGTAGTGACAGTGACCCTAACCAAATGCAAAACTGGTGAAAAAAAATCAGAAAAGATGAGGGGAAAAAATGTCAGTGGCCTTCACCTGTAAAACCATTCCTGTTTTGAAGGTCATCTCATTGTTGCCCCTCTAGTGCACCTGTTGTTAATTTCATTAACACCAAAGCAGTTGAAACTGATTAACAACCCCCTCTGCTACTTACATAACCAAATCATTATCCCAGAAGTTTAATTAACTTGATACTACACTCTGATTACAAAGTGTTCCTTTAATTTTTTTGAGTAGTGTATTAATGTATCAGTCAAATCTCTCACCTTGGGCGGTAACATTGTTTAATTCAAATAAATGTGAAAAAGAAAGCTGAGCGATATCTTACATGATCAACGGCCATAATCCCAAGAGCCAAGTTCACTGCAAAAACACAAACATATTTTAAATGAATCCAACGGTTTATTTGGCAAATACTTCAACCATAAACTTTAAGCAAAACTCAACCTTTTATTTTGTTTTCAGCTGAACTACGAAACTAAGATAAAGTTACTGTTACAAACAATTCCACAAGTATGGGACCATGCAACTAACTCTTGTTTTCCTAATAGATTTTATCAGTTGAGTATTTATATATTTTAATAATCTGATAGCATTAGGCTTTGTAGTTTTTACTGTTGCTTTCCCTGCATAATCTTTACCAGAAGAAGCTAAAACTAAGTCACTTTAATTCTGGATAGGGCTGGGCGATATAGGATTTTAACATTTCACAATATTGTTCTTCATTTCAAGCGATATCAATATATCATGATATAAAATGAATCACAATATTTGTCAAGTTTACATGTTCCATAGCTCATTAGTGAGATTCAATTCAGTTTATTTATATAGCGCCAATTCACAACACGTTATGTCAAGGCACTTTACAGTTCAACCAGATCATACAGTTAAATTGATTAAAAGTTTCCTATCTAAGGAAAACCGGTTGACTTTATCAACTCATTGACTCGAAGGCAATCCCTCACATCGAGCATGCTTGAAGCGACTGTGGAGAAGGAAAAAACTCCCTTTTAACAGGAAGAAATCTCCAGCAAAATCAGTCACGGTGTGAGCGGCCATCTGCCGAGGCCAACTGGGGTTCAAGGAGACAGAAGTAGATATACAAAAAGAAGTAGACTCTTAAGGCAACTTTCAACCAGCTCCACAGGTGGCTCCGTCCATGAAACATACAGCTTGACAGACGAGCTCCAAGCCAGAATGAAGAGAGCACATACAATTAGTCACAATCAGAGAAACGGGAATACTCTGAAAAACAGGCCAAGCTCCAACATCCAAACAAAGGCAAACAATCATATCTCTGATGTAAGATGGAGCTTGGCTATTTAAGGTTCTATATGTGAAAAGGAGGATTTCATATTCTATTCTGAGTTTAACAGGAAGCCAATGGAGAGAAGCTAAGATAGGAGATATATGATCTCTATTTTTGATTTTAATCAGAACTCTGGCTGCAGCATTTTGGATCCACTGAAGACTTTTAACTACAGTTTGTGTGTGGACTTCCTGATAGTAAAGCAAAACAATAGTCAAGCCTTGCGGTAACAAATGCATGGACTAGTTTCTCAGCATCACCCCTGCACAGGATATTTCTAATTTTTGCAATATTCCGCAGATGAAAGAAGGAAATTCTAGAAACTTATTTGATATGAGATTTAAATGACGGGTCTTGATCAAAAATAATACCAAGATTTTTTACTTTATTATCCGAGATCAATTTAATCCCTTTCAAATGAAGTGACTGACTTTGTTTTTTCAAAGACTCTGATCCAAAGACTATAACTTCTGTTTTGTCTGCATTCAGGAGCAGAACGTTAAGAGTCTGCCAGGTTTTTATGTCTTTTTATGTCTAATACATGCCTGTAATCTATGTAATGGGTAAGCTTCATCTGGATTTATAGGCAGATATAGCTGAGTATCATCAGCATAACAGTGGAAATTTGATCCAAATAAGTCCATTATCTGTGGCCCTGAGAATATCATCATTGACTTTCACTAGAGCTGTTTCAGTGCTATGATTAGCTCTAAAGCCAGACTGAAACTCTTCAAAAAGTTCATTATGGTGTTAGTTGTCACACACTTGGTTGGAACTACTTTCTCAAGAATTTTAGGTAAGAAAGGGAGATTAGGTATAGGTTTATAATTGACCAAGTCATCTGGGTCTTAAGCAAAGGTTTAATTAAAGCAACCTTAAAAGCCTTTGGTACACATTCCTCTAACAGGGAGGGATTAATCACATCTAAAATGGAGGAGGAGATCAAAGGTAATACCTCCTTAAATAACCTGGTTGGAACTGGATCTAACATACAAATTGAAAGCTTAGATGAAGACAATAGTTTTGCTAACTCTAAGTTCAACTGGATCAAAGCAGTCTGATTCTATGGTTACCTCAAGCCCCTGTCACACCTTGATGATTTAGCCAGTGTGTGCCTTATGTACGAAAGATCTGGCAAAGACACTGGCATTTGTTGGATAAGTTATGTTTTGTCAGTGTTAGTATTGTATAAGGTATGAGCACGCTGAAGTCGCTGGCATACGTCAACACATTTGAGCATGTTCAAAATTTCTTGATGTACGCCAGCATATGCCATAACGTGGGCAATAAGTTACAGGCAAGTTATTTGATTGGTGACATAGGTTAAGTGTAAGTTATTCATGGTGTCTAGCTTATCCAAAACCTATGAGTAACTTTTGCATAACCTATGCGCAACTTATAAAGAACTTATCTCCAACGCATAGCAACGTATTTGATGTGTTCCAGACGACAGCTTAGCATGTTTCTAACTTACAGCTACTGTATAATGGTGTGTTGACAGTGTTTTGGTATGAAAGTGGGTTCACAGGAGGAAGCCATCAGTACTCCTCCACGCTTCAAACGTTATACAAGATATTGAGGATCCAGCAAGGCTGAGACGGGCATACATACTAGCTGTCCCCCAACATCAGCATGACCTCATCAATTTGACTCTGTTCCAGTTGTAGGGTGAGCAAGAAGAAAAAAGGACCAGTATGAGAACCTCTACGACACACAGGATGGTAAGTACACCATTTCCACATTATTTATGCTTCAGTAAACGAAAAATCAGAAAATATTTTTTTTCCTATTTAAATGACGTTGTAGCTAAGCCTACCTCTGTAAACTGCCTCTTCATGTTTCTGGGTTTAAATTGTCAGCACATGCCCAGTGTTTTTGTCTGTTTTTTAGGTGTGATTCTGTGGTAGTGTTACAGTTCCACTAAATGACCCGGTATATGTACTACAGTGTCTTCATCATTGTTGATGTGTACAATTAAGACTGGTATGTACTGCATCTTTGGTGCAACCTTCAGTCAAGGAAACACCTTATGACACCGAAAGAACTGCACCATCTTTCTATAAATATTGCTGCAAGCTGCATGTGAACCTTTCAGACACTAGTTTACAGTTTGTAAAAAGCACTTAAATAACTCATTACTAAATTTGCTTAAAATATCTCAACAGATTAATCATGATTAATCGAATTTTTTAAGCCTTAGAACATAGTTTAAAATATGAATTGTTGGCTAAATTAACTGTGCTATTTGCTTCCTGAAGAGAAACTTTGATCATTCATTTAGTTCAACAAAAAACTGGAATACTTAAGAGAAATTTTATCCAAAACATATATCTATTTTTGTGTGATAAAGATCTAAATGAAAATTCTTTAATGTTTCTGCAGAAAAGTTTGGTAGTACCTGCTGTTGTGGACTTGCCCACGCCGCCTTTTCCTGAAGCAACAACAATCACCTGTTTGACACCTGGTATGGGTTTCTGCTTAGGAAGACTCCTGGCCATTTGCTGCTTCTGTCTGTCCTGCAGTCCTTTATTGTCCACCAATCCCTATGACATAATAACAAAGAGAAACCACTTTCACACCCATTACAGTAGGGCTATGATTTTCATAACTAATATACACAAAACATAAAAAAAATCTAAATAGTGACAGGGAGGTTCTGGAAGGAGTCAGAATGGTTAACGGTTTATGGGGTTACAGTTCTACATGTTTTAATGATACTGTATAAATAAACTAAATTAAATATATATATATATTTTTTTTTCCAAAGTGCCAATGTATTACACATCACCTCATGGCCCTTTACAGAGACAATTCAACACGATCATACAGTCAGATATCAGGAAAACCAAAAGATTGCATCACGCAGTCTACCTAGATGAAAATGTGGTGACAGTAAATATTCACCTGCATGGTGTGATGGACTTGACGACAGTCCCTCACAATGAGTATGCATGCAGCGAGATGAAAAATTCCCTATTAAAAGGTACAGCTCACATTGATATGCCATGCTGGATGAGCCACTTGTGTGGGTTGTAGAGTCTGTCTCATGCTACCACAAGTGTAAAAGTACCACCAACACTAAAAAACATTAAGCCAGAGATTATAGGTACTGAGAAGTGGTCTGTGGTCCCCACTAGCAGAACCCATCCTTTATTGAGTGTGTTTGCTGATTGCCAATAATATCTGCCTGTTGTCTATTCCATTTGCACAACAGCATGGGAAACTGGTTGTCAATCAGTCTTGCTTCCTAAGCGGACAGTTGGATTTTACAGAAGTTTTATTTCATTGAAGTTATATTGTGCTGTTTGTGTTTCCTTTATTTTTTTTTAGCAGTGCAGTTATTAATAACTATTGGCCTTGCAGAAATCAAATGCTTACATAATCAGATAAACAGATAAAGCCATCATCATATTCTTTAGAGACCTTCACTTCTGGAACAGACTCAAGTCTTTAAAAAAGAGAACTGTAAATCTGCCAGAATTAGCAAACAATATTAGGACTTTTCACACCTGACAAACAGGTTTTGCTGAAAGTCTGTCTGAGACCCTAAATTCAGAAGGATAACCGTTTTGGACAATAATATCTACGCACTAGTGATGGGTCCCAGCAACACTGATGCATCAGCGTATGTTTTGAGTAATAGTCTCTATGTCAGTGTGCGTATAGTTTCAAGAAAGCATTTTAGTTTTATTTTAATTAAGTTTGTTGCAACGATTTTACAGTTTGAAGAAATAGGATTTTACAGTTTGAAGAAATAGAAATTTACACCATATGCCAACCGTCACAAGGATGTGCATGACAAGGAACGGATATATATACTGCATGCAACATTTAAGTAGTTAACATTGTATTATTTATTGAGCTCTTCAAGTTATTTACTGTCACAGGTAGGAGCTTTGGCCGGAGAGTAAGTGTTGGGGCCGGTATGATTTAAGGAGGGCCACCCCTCGCACGCTGAAATTAGGAACAGCCCACCGGGAAAATGCCCGGTATCACAGATTACCAGTCCGAGCCTGAAGTCAGGTGACCAATACCGACGCCGTTTCAAAATGACTGAAACACTAAAACTGTGCTTGTAAGCGCATCTGTGAACGGAATGCATCTACAAAAAAAATCTTTGTTCTTTTGCTTTTCATTTTGAAACTCATGAGGAAATATGTTGCAGCCTTAAGACAAAATAAAGGTTTCAGCCGTGTGGGACCATTTTCATCTCATATTTGTTTTTGATTTTCTCATTGTGTCATCCTGTTCCTCACAGTTATCACTCAAGTTATCTGAATTTTATGAAATTTAAATTGACATTTAGTTTACCGTACTTCCTGTACTCATGTGGTATATGTTTACGGTAGTCCACAATCATCATCATTGAAATGTTCACCTAAATGTTCACGTTATTTATGGATTGCATCTAAAAAAATCAAACATATTTTCATATAAACAAGGATATTAAATAATACGATATGACACAGAATGGCTTAAATTCCAGTATTACCAGGTCATCAAGTCAGTGTCCGTTTAGTCTGTCAAATAGGCTGCATGTAGGGATTTTAAAAGTCCAGCAGGTGTCAGTATTGAGTGACATTGTATCAACGCAGTCTTCATACAGTTTGGAAATGTGTCGAAACGCTTCACGAAGCTCCATCAACCCACCACTACTACACACATTAAAAGCCCTAGTCGTTTGAGTATTTTATGTCCTTTTTTGTTGTTCTATTTTATTTTCTGCTCTTTCATTCAGCCAACGAAACTGCCACAAAAAAACCAGTAAGCTAGCCTCCCAGCTACCAGGGGGTCAAATTAAACACAAGGTAAAAAAACAAAACACAAACATTACCCGATAGCAAGTCAGATGCACCCCACAACCAGTTCCGAGTTTTATCTCAGTTGCATTTTGGAACATTGATGCGTTTCGGCTTGATATTTTCAGTAAATGGGACAGTCTGCAGTATGTGAAAAGAGGCATTTTTACTGCGCATCAAGAAGAAGAAGAAGAAGAAGAAGAAGAGGAGGAAGAAGAAACTAAGGTTTATTTTGAAAGTCAATACCGGAAGTTTTACTTGAACTCCGATAAAATAAAATAGATAAAAACGGCTCAAACACCAACGGGATTTTTTTTTTTTTTTCCTAAAACCTCTAACGATCTTCGAAAGGAAATTAACATTGAGGTATGAATTAATAACTTCCCTCTGACATCATTGATGACTACACTCCAGTCTGGTAGGTGGGGGTAAATGCACCTTAAGTTGGTTGCCATACACCAATAAAAAAACATAAGAAGAAGACTTTCTTCTTTTTTTTTTTACTTTTAACACCATTTTTATAAACACAATTCAAATATATAAACAATAGACGTAAAACAAGTGTCAGTTAAAAATCACTATTAAGATATAAACAAGTGTCAGTTAAAATCATTAAATGAGGAGCTTGATGAAATGTAGATTTCCATCATCTGACACAGTACATACAATGTTTTTAAAACCCCACAACTAATAAAATCCTCCATGTTCTGTGTGGCTCTGTGGAAGTAAAACTCCAGCCTTAATCTGGCTTTAACGTTGCACTTCCACAGAGCTGCAACATCCAGGTGAGATCCTTCCTGCAGTCTGTCTCTACAGGACAGGTAAATGGCCATTTTTGCTTCGCTGTTTGAAAAATTTAAAAATCATGCCTTTGACTTATTCCTTCTGTTTTGACAAACTCCCCCTATAAAAACGGTCCCAAAAAGACTAAAAACACTAATTAAAAATGGTCTTTAGCCTTACACATTCCGTAAAAACGTGGAACACGTTTTCAGACAGACCACAGAGGACACTCATTTAAAACACTCCAATTAATAACTGATAAAAACGAGTTTGTGGCAATGGAGCCGTGTAAAATCCTACATTGGAGATCACCGGTTCGGTTTTTTGATCGGAGGCTTGTATAAAGTCCTCCACTGGGGTGCTTTTCCATGAAGTTTTTCAGTCCATTAGAGACCGGCCAGTTCTGAAGGTGTCGTTGGTTAATGACTTTTGCGCAGCAGTGGTAAAGGGGTTTCTGGTCCATAGTCGATAAAACCATTCTCTGTGGGTCCAGGCTGGAGAAGAAGAAGACTTTGACTTTTAACATTACTTTATTTACACAATTCAAACATATCAATAATTGACGTAAAACAAGTGTCAGTTAAAAATCACTATTAAAGTAAAAACAAGTGTGAGTTAAAATCATTAAATGAGGAGCTTGTTAAAATGCAGTTCTCCATCATCTGACACAGAACATAAAATGTTTATAAAACCTCACAACTGAATAAAATCCTCCATGTTCTGTGTGGCTCTGTGGGAGTGAAACTCCAGCCTGATCCTGGCTTTAAGGCTGCACCTCCACAGAGCCACTGCGTCAAGGTAAGGTCTCTCCTGCAGTCTGTCTCTACGGGACAAATAAATAGCTATTTTAGCTTCACTGATTAAAAAGTTTAAAAGTCTGGCCTTTGCCTTGTTGCTTTTGCTTTGACACACTCCTCCAATAAATAGGGAAGTTGTAAAAATGGTGCCAAAAAGACTAAAAACATTTGTTAAAAGACTAAAAATGGTCTTTAGTCTGACGCAATCCATAAAAACATGAAAAACATTTTCAGACAGACTGCAGAAGGGACACTCGTTTAAAACACCCCGATTAATGACGGATAAAAACGAGTTCTCATTTGGAGATTGCCTGTGTCATGATGGGTTGTGTTACTAGCCCAAATGCAGAACACACACAGAGGCAGAGGGAAAGTCCAAAGGTTTATTGAACACAGACTGGGTTCTTCCTGGAGGGCAGAGAGGACAAAAACAGGTTAGGTTCAGGTTATCAGGGAGTCAGATTCAGGCAGGCAGGTTGGCTCAGGCTTGCTAACCATAACTGGCAAACAATCTGGCAAGGAGGGAAGTTATCCTCCAGCTTAAGTAGTTCCTCTTGATGAGCAGATGGGGAACAGCTGTTGCAGGTGAGCACAAGCTCTCAGAAAGGGATCCACGGCGCCCTCTGGTGGCCAAACCTCTGGATCCCAACAGTACCCCCCCCTCAAGGGCGGATTCCAGACGCCCCAGATCAGTCCAAAAAAAACAAAAAACAACCCATCCAGGGTGGGCGGAGGGAGAACCAGGCAAGGAGGGCAAGAAAGTTTCTAGAGGTTGAATCTCAGGAGGCCAGAGGCGAAGCAGACGCTCTAGGGGCCAGCCGCGGGGCCGGAGGCATGGCAGACGTTCTGGAACAGGCTCGGAGGGGGCCGCGGACTGCGGCTCAGGAGCAGACCCAGAGGTAACCGCCGACAGCGGTTCAGGAACAGGCTTGGACTGGACCGCCGATTGCGGCTACGGAACAGGAACAGAGGAGCCCGCCAATTGCGGCTCCGAATAAGGAACAGAGGAGCCCGCCAATTGCGGCTCCGAATCAGGGGTCTTTGGAAGACACAGAGCGGGCTCAGGGGTCTCCAGACGGCTCAGAGCGGGCTCAGGGGTCTCCAGATCACGTAGTGTCAGCAGTGATTTGTAATATCCCCTGTTGCTCACCTGTGAGTTTCAGTGAGTGGGTGATGTCTACTTTTTGCTGACCACTTTAAGCTTTGGATGTTTTTTTTTGTTCTCTTTTGGGCTTGATCACGGATCGAACCTGTGGATTTATTTTTTCTTGTTTGCTGCATTGCATGTTTTGAAGATCAATAAAAGAAAAGTATCTGAACTGCATCTTGGACTGACCTTTTGAGCGCGCCAACAAGGATTCCCCTGCAGAAAAGTATCTTGAAGTTAAAGATCGAAACTAGGAAATGGTGGAAAGCATGATGAGAAAACCAATAGGACCATCAGAAACTGGCAGAGTGACAATAACTAGTGATGGGTCTGACGACACTGAAACCTCGGTGCATGCGCCGAGCAAACAGGGTGAAGCCCCGTGTCGGTGCGCGTATCTCGTTAAGGAAAACCACGTGACCGATATAGTTCCTGTGTCTTTTGATTGTGATCGCGTCAAATTGTATTTATAAACAGAAAATGTATCGACACGTGGGTTTTGTTGGATGGAGATAGCTTGTATTGTTTGCTTTGCATCGGTTTTTGGCTTGTCATTTAAAACTATGGATCAACCAAGGAAGAGGAAGTTTTCTCCCGTGTGGGATCATTTTGAATAAGGTGATATATAAGTGATATAGCTCAGCTCACTACAAATGATTATAAAATCATAGAGGTCTCCTCTATGATTTTATAATCATTTGTAGTGAGCTGAGCTATATCTGTGTGCTTGCTCCATTTAATCAGGCGACAGTGGAGCTGTCTAAGGAAAAAAGAGTGTCTGGATCAAAGGTTATCCCAATGCTCAAAATGTTGCATCACTCACTGCAATGCAATGCATTAAATGTAACCATAGAAACCACAATCAATCTTGTGGAAAACCTGAAAAGAAGACTGCTAGAAACTCTGTGCAACCTGGAGTCATTAAGTGTAATGACAATACCAACAATGCTGGACCCTAGGTTCAAGACGATGGCATTCTTAAGTGCGTCAAAAGCCAATGATGCAGTGAAAAGACTAAAATCAGAGTGTGCGGCAGTAATGAGAAACGCTGTACCGACACAAATGGAAGATGCCAAAGCTGGACCTACAACTCAACCATCTCCTTCCAATCCAGGTATGTTATGATTCCTAATTGTGTTCATTTGTATTTTAATGTTCATACAAATCACTCCATGTGAATACAATGAATAAGTAACACAGATGCATTTTATTGTTTCCTCAGATGACAACCTGTGGCACCCGCTGGACATGAAAGTCAAGGAGAGCAAGGCCAATTCAAATGTCACCACCGATGCCATTTTCGAGGTACAAAGATACATCTCCGAGGAGAACACACTAAGATCACAGGATCCACTACAATACTGGAAATTGCAAAGACTAAATTACCCTACCTTGTACAAACTTGCAATGACATTTTTATGTACGCTGTCATCATCACTGCCCTGTTAAAGGGTGTTCTCAAAAGCAGGAGAAAAGGTTTGTAAGCGGCGCAATCACCTTGGCTAAAATAGGTTAACGCAGCTGATGTTTCTAAATAAAAATGTGTCAATGAACCTCGTTCAGTCTGTTTCCAGTCTTTATTGAAGTTGCCTGCAATTATTTTTTTAATCCAGCAGATGTCGCCATTAAGTGATACAGCTACACAGTTTCAACACAGTGTCGACACAATTTGGGAAATGTGCCATACGCCTCATCTGCCCATCACTAACAATAACCTAAAGATAAATTAGAAATTATGTGGGCAAATATGATTAAGTATTTATTATGTTGGGTTCAGTTAATTATATATATATATATATATATATATATATATATATATATATATATAT